GAGGCAGAGGCAGGCAGATCTTTGTGGGTTTGAGGCCAGCCTAGTCTAAAAAAATGAGTCCAGGACAGCCAAGATTACACAGAGTAAACCCTGTCTGGAAAACCCAAACAAACAAACAAGGGAATATTTGGGAGGGAGATTATTAATGAAAACAAAACAAAACAAAACAAAACCTATCCCTGCCATAATGGTGGGTTTCATGGCATCACTAATATGTAAATATACACTTAAAATACTATTCAACATATTTAAAGATCAAATCCAAGTAATAACTCATATATAAATTAATCCATTTTTCATTTAGTGTGAAAACAGTAATCACAATAGACAGGGTTGATGTTTAGTCTTTCCTCTCCACAGACATCATTAGCTTCAAGCAATGCTGTCACTGTAAGTTTTTTCTTTCTAATTTCATACAAAATAATTATACATTATATATTTTATTTGGCTGCTTTAGCCTAACATTTCTGAAGCTCATTTTTGTTGAATGGCCAGCTGCTTATCTCTTTATACTGCTGACAAATACCCTGTTAAACAAATTCGCTACCATTTGTCTATTCATTCATGTGTTAATGGACATGTCAGTTATTTTTAGTTTGTGGCTACTATGATTAAACTGTTATGAGTATCTGTGTCTATTTCTTTGTGTGGGCATATGTTTTTGTTTGCTGTCATTAAACACAAAGGAGGAAACTGCTTGGCTTCATGGCAGCTAAATGTGTTGATCTTTGAAGTAAGCTGATTAATTATTTTCCAAAGCAGTGTTCTCTTTAGCCTTGTGGAGAAGGAGAGTTGCTGCACTCCCTTCTAGCGCTTTGTAATGTCAGCCACTGTAATGATGCTGTTGTTCCGTGGGTTTAATTCAAACTTCCCAAGTAACTAATGAAGCAAAGCACCTTTGAATGTTCCACTGACTATTTCTACACTACCCCTGTGATCTACTTTCTTTTATTTGCTAAGAAAATTCAGATTTTATAGAATTAAAACTTTATTTTACTCGTGTGTGTGTGTGTGTGTGTGTGTGTGTGTGTGTGTTCTGTGTGAGCAATCAAAACGGCCAGAAAAGGGGTTTGGATACCCAGGAACTGGAGTTCCAGCACTGTGAAACACCTGACCTCGGTTCTAGGAATCAAAGTCGGGTCCTCTGGAAGAGCAGCAAGTACCTAAACTGCTGAGCCACCTCTCTAGCCTTATTGAATTATTAAAGTTCGTTATATAATCTGCATAGAACATACTTGTTAGATGAATGTACTGTGAATATTTTCCATTTTAAAAATTGTTTCTGGAATAGATTTTTACATTTTGATTTTTTTTCTTTTTAGAGCCTTTTTCTTTCTTTCTTAGGTGTGGTAGTTACACGTTAAGAAGTTTTTTGCCTTTCCCAACTTTAGAGACTGCTGTTATCGTCTAGAAGTTTCATACTGCTTGCTTCTGTGTTTAATTCTGTAATTGCCTTGAAGTCAGCAGCTGTCTATGAACCTTATGAACATAAGATTCATTTTTACGTGGTCATCCAGTTGTTCCACTCATTCAAAACATAATTCCCACACTGAATTGCCTCAGCTTTTGGGGTATTTGGACTCTGCACTGGTTTGATCCTCTCTTTTGCTTCCTATGCTATGTTGACGATTGTAGTTTCACGGTAAGGTTTAAAATGGAACATGCACATGCTCTTTGTTCTCTCTATACACTTTCACGGATTTTTAGTTTTTAGCTTTTTAAATAGAATCTGCTGGTGCTCAAAGAGAACTGACCTTCTAACATACTGAGATTTCATGGCCTGTCTTCTGGCAGTGATCTGCTGTTCACAGATCACTGTGCACAGGCCCAGCAAGTGCTTTAGTAAACTCATCCTTAGTACAATTTCCTCTTGGAAGGTTTTACTGGATTCCCTCCTTCCCCCTACATTCTCCAAATTGGGCAGGCAATGCGTCAGTACACTCTTCCAGTCCTGTTCCTTGCCTAGAATGATATGCCCTCCAAGAGGAGCTCATGGGCTGGCTGGTAGAGTCATTTATCCCCTCCACCAGTGTCTGGACTTCTGTTCAGGAACTGCCTTTTGCCCTTTGCAAAATTTCTTTCTCTGAATTATAAGCAAGATTGCCAGAAAAATTACTAACACATATTTGAGGTGACAAACTATAGCCATGTCAGTACCTGCTTTTTACTAACCCTACATGTCTGTGAGATACTTTTTGGAAACTTAGGCATTCATAAACTATCAAATTCAGACAGGTGGAGTCAGGAATTTGGGAGTTGCATTTCAGTAAGATGACTCTGAAGCCAGCTTTCTTAGCCACACACTATAAGAGGGAAAGGAGGCTCTTAGAAGCATAGTTCTTGAGAGGAAGAGAGAAAAGTAAGAGTTCAAGTGTGGAGAGCAGTTGGGGCATTTCTTCCCAGCAGGACAGGAAACTTGTTAACCCCCAAGGTGGTGGGCCTCCTGTATGTATCCTAATGTTAGGGTCCAGAACTTGCTGAAGAAAAACTCCCCAGACTCAAGCAGTATGCAGACAGCAAAGAGTTTATTCTGTGGAAATTCAGCATGCAGGGATCACCATTCAGCAAAATGGCGACCCCAAGCTCTCAGGCTCAACTTAAGGCCAGTTAGGGGAATTCCAGGGATAGTTAGGTCATCTTTATTCCGATTGGTATAGGTCAGAAACATGGGTACAGGTATATTGGGGATTGGCTCAGGCCAGGTCAGGAGTTAGTCATGAGATAGGGGCTTGCTAAACCATCAATTGAGCACTTTTATCTCTTTCAGACCAAATGTCTTGGCCGCCTTTGATTGGTTGCTCATTTTCTGTGTTTATTTTTTTTCCCTATAATTGAAATTTCTATTTCTGAGAAACAGAAACTCTGGCCTGCTCTGTCTTAGTAACAAAATGAAGCCTGTCATGGAGGTGGTCAGGTTCATTTAGCCAGGCTCTCTCATTCCCCCCGAAGAAAGATCCCACCTCGAATCCTTGAGATGTTTATAGGGGCTGATATCGTTTAAGCATCATCAATTGAACTGTGGAAATACGTTCCTTGACAAATCTGACTAAAGTATTAATACATGGGCCACAGGTGAGGTTGAGTGGTAGAAGGATGGGGCTGGCAAGGGCTGACACCCGTATGGTTAACCAACGGGACCAGTTAAGTAATGACTCACACCAGTTTTTAGAGGAATTGGTATTTGGCTGATATGCCTGATGGTAATTAGGCCCCCTGTATCATATTCTGATAGCCTGTAAAGGTATATGCCCCAAGTTTTTCCTGATTCCCATCCTGAGGCTTTTTGCTACCTCCATGAATTTTATAATAATAGAGTTACAGTGTTCCTCCAAGTTCCATCCTTTGAGTAGCACTCGGGACCATTTCCTCTTTTTGTAGTGAGTAACATATTGATCCCTCCTGTGGTTTCACAACCCCATGCCTTACAGAAGTAATCAGACGAGCCCCCACAGTTCTTTCTTTGGACAGGGCTTAAATCGCCAGCCAGGCATAGAAAGCCCATTTTCTAAAGTAATCAATGTCCCCAGCCATTATTAGTCCCACTGAAATGGATAACTGGGAATAGGTCCCTCATATAAAATTTTAGGTCCAGGTACCAAGTTCTTTTGGGTGCTAAACGGGTTACCTGATAAAGAATGTCTCCCACCCAGTGTTGGTAATTACCCAGATAAGGTTTAGGGGTTGGTGCGGAGTCAGCGAAGTGGATTCTATGAAGCAGGCAATTAGAATCAGGAGCTTTGAAGTCAGAGCTTCAGTGGTTTGGCGGGATGCAGTGTAACTTTCATTGCTGTTTGTCCTCAGATGGGATCCTTTTACGTTTCATCCTCAGTTCCGTGGATGCCTCTTGTCCTGCTGGTTTATGATGTATTCAGGTCTGGCTGCAGTCTACCTTTACAGCTGTTGGGGTGGCCAGGTCATGGTGTGGGACCCTTCTAGTGAGGTTCTAGGGTCTTATGGTTGTGGCATTTGACCCAAACTTTGTCACCTGGTTCAAGGCAATGTGGATTACCTGGGGGTGCAGATTTATATATGTCTTTGATGAATGGCCAGAGACTTTTCTGCATCTGGTGCAGGGCCTGTAAGGAGTCTAGGAAATGCTGGTTATCTATTTCAGCAGGCAAATCAGACTGCAGATTAGGCAAAAGGGGTGGGGTCTCCCATATAGGATTTCAAAGGGGTATTACCGCACAAGTGTAAGGGGTATTTCTAGTCTTATATGGGCGTAGGGCAACAAGTTCACCCAGTCTTCAGGGAAATTTTAGTGTCTGATTCATCCCTTCTACCTGTCCTGAACTCTGGGAGCAATATGCACAATGAAGTTTGCAATTGACCCCCATCCTGCAAAGGTGTCTATAAAAACTAACAAGTATTTATAACCATATTTACCAGGCTTTACCTCAGTATAATCTATTTTCCAATTTGCCCTAGGGAGTTGGCCTGGAATCCTGGTACCAGTGATAGCTGACATTGTGCTTGGCAGGTGGTTCAGCGGTAGAATTTTCTCCTGACACCCAGGAGGCTCTGGTTCGATTCCCGTCCAATGCACCAGATGTTAGGGTCCAGATCATTCTAGACCCTTACACTAGCACCTATCCGTGTTTTGCCTCATCCCCAGCTTCCCTTTGGCATGCAACTTTTAGAACAGACTCCCTAGAAACCAATATACTCATCTGACCCAGCAATGACATGGGACAAGGCTAGGCGGGTGCTGCTTCTCAGAAGTCTCAGTCTTTGATCCTGCTGTTGGGCAGAAACCCTGCCACCTAGTTGCTCTCTCTCTCTCTCTCTCTCTCTCTCTCTGTCTGGACAAGGAAACCAGCCGGGCACCCACTGCCAGGACGCTCGTTGCCCGCGTCTCTCTAGGAAGAGGTCGCAGCCAGCTCGGACAGCTCTTCCTTGGCGCACCACATGCCTCCAAGCCGTGACCCCAGCTGGCCCACCCCGGGCCCGGGCCCTGAGCTCGCGCTCCCGAGAGGCGGCGCCAGGGCGGGGCGCGAGGCCGGGGGCGCGCTCCTCCCCCTCGCGGGCGGCCGGGCTGGCCGCACCGACCCCCCGCGCGTCGCACATGGAGCGCTGGACCGAGGCGGCGGCAGCGGGCAGCGGCGCTTCTGTGGCTCGCTCAGCCGGCCCCTCCCGCTCCTGTGCGCTGCCCCTCCAGGCCCGTGTGCGTGGTCACCATGGCGTCCAGTGAGGAGGACGGCACCAACGGCGCCTCCGAGGCCGGCGACGAGAAGGAAGCCACCGGCAAGCGGAGACGCCTAGGCTTCTTGGCCACCGCCTGGCTCACCTTCTACAATATCGCCATGACCGCCGGGTACGTGCGCGCGAAGGGCTTTCCACGTTCCGCGCGCTGTTCTGCCATCTCTCCGCGATCCGGACTCGGGGACGCGGGGAGCGCGCGCCCGCGGGGCTGCTGGGGGTCCGGCCGCGGCGAGGGCGCGCGCATTCGGTGGAAAGGGAGCGCACGGGGGAGCACTCAAGGGTCGAGGAGGAGGAGGCGCGCGATGGGGGGGCGTCTTATGGAGCGAGAGCGCGCGCGTCGGACCCTTGGGGTCTCCGTGAAGTCGGTGCCGCGGGAGCGCGTGTTGTGGCCGCAGGCGGTGGAAGCGCCCTGGGCGCGCGGCCCGGGCGCTTCGGGCGATCGCGCGCGTGCTGGGGCCCCCGGGGGTCGCGGCGCGGCGGGGGCGCGCGGCGCGGTGGGGGAGGGGCGCGGCAGGGTTGAATGGAGCGGGGCGGGGCGGGGCGGCCGGCTGCCGCTCCCTGGGCATTGCCTAATACGGTGCACGGCGTGGCGCGGCGGCCCGGGGCGCAGGCCGGAGGTTAAGTATAGACCGGGGCAGGAATGCAGGGCGGACCCACGGTGGAGGCTGCTGTGGAAGAAAGCCCCGGTCTGTTCACTACAGCCGGGAGCTGTCCGCTAGCTGTGCACTCGCACACCGGACGGGGGGCGTGTGGTTCCTGGTGCTGCAGATCCCTCGGTGTCTTTACCTACTGTTTCTTTTTAAGCATGGCACTGAAACATGTTCTCTTCAGACTTTGTTGGGACACCTGGAAAAGGGCAGGTGTCCAGCATCGTTATGGCCTTATCTTTTTCTGATTCCCCGTCCTTGCCTTCCCTCACCCCCAAACTTAGTGTGACTCGGAAGTTAGGGTTATACAAGATTGGTCTTCAAAGTGCTATCACTTCTACGGTGACTGAAAACCCATTATGAAAATGCCCTTTGCTATCTCGCCTTTAAAATCTTTCTCAATAGCTTCGGAAGTTTTAAGTTACACGAAGGTGAGGAAACGTTCAGCATTTTAAACCGTCTCTGAGCTTTATAGAAGTGTGATTGAACTGACCGCTTGGCTAAGCTCAAATGTAGAAAAATGTGGTTCTATTTAACAAATGTTTCTGTTGACCATCTATTATGTAATAGTGAACAGCAAATATAGTTCATAGATAGGAATTTATTTGGGTTACTGTGTGCCACGACTATGGGGCTTCTTTTGGCCATACCATCTCATTTTTAGTTTTCTGCAATCCTGTGAGGGCTACAGAACAATATCTTTTTAGTGAGGCATGGAGAGACCATAAGTCACTATCTGGAGATCAAAACTAGAATGTGTCAGACATGGATTTCCACCAAGATTGACTCCAGCGCTGTGTAACTTCATCTTCTTGCCGCCCTGAATCCCACAACCTTTGAAAGTTGAGGAAACCAACAGGCTTAAATCAGCTGGAAGACATTTCGGTGCCCGGCACACTCTCCTGGTGCCCTGAGGGCTGAGCGAGCAACCTCTCCTCTGAGATAATCCCTTCAAGTTAGCAAATGCTTTGGGAAAACCACCCTATGGTACTTGATTGGCTGTCTCTTCCCTGTCCAGTCCACCGTTCCATTTTTAAGGCCTTGTTACTGTTTCAAGAGTGAAAACTCCCGCACATTCCCAGTTCAAAATCTTGAATGAAAAAATTTAAATGACCCTGTCTTGTCCTAAGGGCTGCTGTCCTTGAAGTTCATTTTCAACACACTCAATTTACCTTTCCAGTTTTCTTGCATTTGAAACCCCCAACTCACTATTTTCAGTGTGCATTTTAAAGCTCTCCATTCTTGTGACTGAGTTGTCTGGTGTGAACTTCTCTAGATTCCCCTGCCTCACAGGAGAGAAACGAAAATGACTCATGCTGTGTTTTCACACTTCGCTCCTGCTCTGCCCCTTCCAGCCAGTCCTTATCCTAAACTGGGAGGGTCCAAGGTTATTTTTATCAAGACACAGTACCCAGATGAAGTAGTCCATCTGATTCTTTCAGCTTCCTATAGATAATCTTTCCTTTTTCCTTACCTTTCATTTGCCTGTCTGATTTCCTTCAAGTTTATGCCCAAATCTCTTTCACCAGGGCATCTTCACTGACATACTAGCACATCTCGACTCCTTGATTTTCCTCCATCCCACTTACTGTTATTTAACTATACCACATATTTTACTGAGTCTTCACTGTAAGCTCCTGAAAGTAATGAGTACTTACTGAATTAATCAACGACTATCTTCTAGAACACTGGTGATGAGTATCTACTGTGTAAGCTCCTGTTTCCACTTACTATTGAACTGAGTCATTCTGATTATGCTTTCATTGTTAGATAAGACTGTGTAGAAGTAACGTACCATCACAGATTAAGTTAGACGCTAGTGACGTTTCCAGCCCTCCTCCCTGATCCGGGGGAATTATTGGCTTTAGGCACATCCAGGATGGGGCACCTTTGAAGGATGGAAGGACTTTTATGGTACATATGTGGCTTACTTGTAATAGAGTCTTGGCTAGAGCCATGAGCATTTGTGCTTTGCTTTTCCACAAAAACTTCTGAAGCTATAGATGCTAGCGTATTGTCTTAGGTCAAGTGGAGAACATAAGACAAATATTCCAGGCCCATCTTTGAAGAAGCACAGCCTGGGCAATAATTGCAATTATTGACAATAATTGCAATAAAAATAGAATAGGATAATTGCTTACAAAACAGGTGCCTGAGGACTGAGGGGAGGGGAGACTCCGACAAACCTCTGTGAAGGAGGTGAAAGCATTTGAATGGGTCTTTGAAGGGTAAGTAGGGTAAATACATGGATGAGGAGACAGCACGTATCAGTGTAGAGATGTGAGGTTGGAAGACATCAGTTAAGCAACAACAGTGGCCCTGAAGTACAGATAGACAGGTGGCTTGGTCTGTCCATTGCAAAGCCACAGATGCCTTGCTAATGTGCAGAGTTTGTTTTGTAAACACTGTGAAACTGTTGACTAAAGGTTCTGTTTTATTGCTCTGTGGTGGAGTGAAGTTGGATAAGCTGTTTGGCCTCTTACCCTTAGTTTTCCCATCTGTAGCAGAAGTGTTTGATGAACAGTGGATGCTGCAAGATAATATTTCCTATCCCTAGGAGTCAATTTGAAATTACACTTCTTGGAAAAAAGAGAAACTATTTGAGATTTTTCTTTTCACGGATATACGGAATGTGCCTTGATGGAACGATAAATTAAATTTCATTTCCCAAAATATTGAGCAATAGCCATATCTTTTAGATAACAAATATTGCTAAGGATTGTAGATCGAGTGAATGGGTATACGGCGACTGGTTTATCCATTTACCTGTTGGTGGGAATTTCCAGTTTGCATCTATTATATATAAATATGTGAACTTTCATGTACAGGTCTCTGTGTGTATTTATGCTTTAATAAAATGCAGTGGCTCTGTCATAGAGAAGCCGTACGTTTAATGTCTTAAGCCACAGATTTCTTTTTCCAAGTTGTTATGCCATTTTTTTCCTTACCATTACCAATAAATGAGACTTCCAGTTGCTGCATGTCATTGCCAACCATTGGTATGACCAATGCTTTTCTTCTTAGACACCCAGTGTCTTAGTAGGAATTACTATTGCTGTGATGAAACACCATGACCAAAGGATAGTTTGGGAGGGAAGGGTTTATTTGGCCTACACTGCCACCTCACTGTTCATCATTGAAGGAAGTTAGGACAGGAGCTCAAACAGGGCAGGATCATGAAGGCCGGAGCTGATGCAGAGATAACAGAAGGATGCTGCTCACTAGCTTGCTCTTCATGGCTTTCTCAACCTGCTTTCTTATAGAACCCAGAACCACCAGCCCAGGTGACCCCATCTACAATGGGCTTGGCCCTCCCCCATTGATCTCTGATTAAGAAACTGCCATACAGGCTTGCCTATAGCCTGACATTATGGGGGCATTTTCTCAGTGAGATTCCCATCTCTTAAATGACTCTAGCCTGTGTTAAATTGACACAAAACTAGCCACCACATCCAGTACATATATTGTATATTCTCAGTGTGAATTTAATTTTCAAGTTCATGACCAATGATACTGGATATGTTTTCATGGGCTTAGTTGCTGGCAAGCTTGTATGTCTTCTTGGGTTTAATGTCTGTTCAAATCTTTTGCCAATTATTTTCCTTTGATGAGCTGTTTGGTTTCCTAATAGTAACTTTTAAGAATTCTTTAAATAGCCCTTTGTCAGGTTTGTGCTTTGCAAATATCTTCTGGTTGCAGCTTGTCTTTCATCTCTGAACAGTGTCTCTCAAAGAGCAGGTGGTCCTAATCTTATGGATGAACCTTCCAATTTAACTCTTTAGTGTCATGAGTGCCTATTTGAAGTTAGTGAAAGCAGGCATGTGTTGGCTCCAAAGGAAAGTAGTAATTTAGTTCAGGAAATGCAATTAGGAGGTGTTAATGTATCATATATGAAAGCACAGCTGTGAGCCAGATGTGGTGGCACACGCCTGTAATCCCAGCATTGGGGGAGGCAGAGGCAAGTGAATTGCTGTGAGTTTGAGGACAGCCTGGTCTACCAAGCAAGTCGAGCCAAGGCTACAAAGACAAACTGCCTTGAAAGAAGAAGGAGGAGGAGGAGGAGGAGGAGGAGGAGGAGGAGGAGGAGGAGGAGGAGGAGGAGGAGGAGGAGGAAGAAGAAGAAGAGGAGGAGAAGCAGCAAGCACAGCTGTGTAAGAATTGGAGGCTATCTCTTCTGGAAGCCTAATTGTTAAAGGAGGTACACAGAAGAAATTTCAAAAAGAAAGAACAGCCAGAAATGGTTTGTGCCTTTAGAAACACACCAAACAACATGTTAACGAGCCTTGCCAGTGTCTGAGGGAGCCGCTAGAACTACCTGTCAATTCCTAGGCATGTAGGAGGCAGAATATAGCAAATGATCTAAAGTATCCAATTAGCAATATCTAGACAGTGGGACACTCTGCAGGCCCAGCCACCCAGTGCTCAACGAACAACATGAAAGAAAGAGATAAAGGGAAGGGGGAGG